GCGTTTTTCACACACAATCGGCACTTACACTGACAATATAATTGTTGTGATATGTTCTACGGCTCTGAAACACTAACATTTGTGTTCAGGGAAGTCTACTGAGTATAACAGTAGCCCTCATGTATAGGTTTTTTGGTGTTTTCAAAAGTTACAGAGTCAAATATAAGGCTTGTGTTTCAGTTTTTTCACATTAAAATTCACTAGATTGGTAACATTGCCTTTGAGACTGTATGGTAGCCCAGGAATGAGAATTCCCCCCATGATAGCATACCATTTGCAATAGTAGACAACCCAAGGTATTGCAAATGGGGTATGTCCAATCTTTTTTAGTAGCCATTTAGTTACAAACACTGGCCAAAATTGGCGTTCAATTTCATTTTTTGCATTTTTCACACACAAACAAATATTAACGCGAATTTCAATGTGAAAAAAACAGAAAAATTTAACATGCTATATTTGATCCTGTAACTTCCCGAAACACCATAAAACCTGTACATAGGGGTTACTGTTTTACATGTGAGATATCGTTAAATACAAATATTTGTATTTTATTGCAGTAAAAGCAAACAGTCTTATGACATTAAAAGTTAAAATGTCATGCAGAACAAAAAAAAATAACATTTCTTAATTTCTCATATTTTTTTATATTTTATTCATATTAAATTATGTTTCATAGCTAAATATTTGATGTTAAGTGAAAGCCCTATTTCCCCTGAATAAAATGATATAAAATAAGTGTCGGTGCACTTAATATGAAAGAGATGAATTATGGTTGAATAGACATGTTTTCAAATTCCAAGTTTTGTCTACATTTTATTTTGATCAAAACTTGTACATTTGGCTCAGTCCTTAAGGGGTTAAAAAGGCAATGTTTGCATGCAAATGCCTGAAGGTAATGAACAACTACATTAAGCTATGGTTGGTCTGGTGACTACAGTGTCCCTTTAACATATATCATAAGATGTATCTAAAATGTTACATGCGCTATTATGTATCATATATTGACAAACTTTTACTTTTTTGTCAACTTTAAAATATTGACTATTCTGTCTCCTTAGCAATTAACTATTCTCCCATAAGACTTCCACGAAAGCCAATACCTTTATCCAGGCCACAAGAACATTTGAAAAAAACTGGAGACTATCTTTTTTTGTTTTAATTTTGTATTTTTTTAGTGCAGTGTAGACAAATTATAGGCATAGGGCAGGCATGTAGTAGGCTGAAACCTCATGTGCTTCATACATGACAATTGTATCGCACAAATAATTTAAACATAAAAAAAATGCAAACTAGGTTAACCTGAGCTATACGGTGTACTATGAATACATAAGTGAGTAGGAATAATTCCCAGGCATCCCCAGAAGTGGAGTATTGTGAATGCTCGCTAACTCGTATATTAAAGTATTGGTATCTTAGCATACCATCGACTTTAAATGGGCGTGAGTCATGAAACCTGATGTACGGGCTTTAGATATAAGAGGTTAGGGACATTTTATTTGGCCCTGTCTGGAAGAGTGATGAATTGTGTGAGTGAACTCCGGAGATTAGGGTGATGGAGTAGTGCCTCATGCTTAGATATTCCTCACCAAGGTGGTTGTAGGGGAGGGAGGAAGGTTTCACCAAATATCTATCAGCTGTGGACTGGGTAAGCTCACCCTCCAACCATACAGTGGGCAGCACATCCGGTTTTATGGTTTTCTAACATCTTAAAGAAAAGGAAAGCAAAAGAAAGCATTAACCAAAAATTGAGATAACAATTTATGAGATGTCACACTCACCCTCCCCAATCCTGTCACGCTCTTTCTCCATCGCTCTTTCTCCATCACCCTGCCACACTCACCTTATCTCATTTAACCGCCCCAATTCTGTCATACTCAACCCTCCAACCATGCCACACTAACCCTGTGGGGCATAAATGTGACACATGGAATAGCTCGGGGGGTGAGAAGGCATTTCAGGTAGAAACACCAGAACTGCCATACGCCTTTGAACAATTGTGAGCTCAGGCTGACTGAGGGTTGACTCCCGCGACAGTGATTGGAGTCCTGCGAGCCTCAGGCTCTTGGTGTAAATGGCACACTGTTAGTGGGGTCCAAGGTGCTTGTGGGTGTCACACGTGTTTCTTCATTGTGATCCACTAGTCCCACAGATGCCAGGAAGTTGGGTACTTCTGCCACCAATGTAGGAGTATAGGAAAGAAAAGAATGGAGACTATCTTAAAGAAAGATTACAAATATTTGGCAATGTATAAATCAGTTATCCAAAAATACAAAGAGGCCTTGCACAGAGGATCTACTTGGACCAAAAGATCTATGTTGATTACTGTAAAGTGAAGCTTGTTGATTTTACTTAATATGATAAGAATCCCTTAAGACCCCTAGAGTTGGATAATCTCACAGAATCCTCACAATAACACAACCTCTGTTCAATATAGATAAATCCGTAGTTATCTTTAAGGTTTAGTTTGAGAACCTCGGTTCAATATAGTTTGCACAGACAGTTCATAGCCGTTTCGACTTTAAGAAAGTATATTTCTCAGCATGTGTAGCAACCTATAACACGTAACGACAATTTGCTGCTATTAATCTTTCACGTTGTGAATAAAGCTAATGGTGAATGTCACCTGTCTACATGTTTTATATACATTAATAAAGCGTCTACATAATGGGACGTCGCCGATCAATCTGTCTATTGGATTTATCCAGTGAGGCATTTGATGTTACATGAACGTAACCGATCGGAGAGGTTGTTAATTGCCCATTGTGCTGATCAGCTCTGTAACTCAATTGATTTAACAGGGATCAATGGGCTGATTTACTGTCTTACTAACGCTCGGTCTGGACACCTCATCAATAGATGGTTACTTAGGGACGATCAGCACATTAAGTGCAGAACAGATGTTAAACGTCACCTCTCCACACCTGCTCTGAAACTTAAAATAGTACGATATATATATATTCAAAATACAGGATAAAAATATAATTTTATTGCTTAAACAATATAAGAAACACAAACAAATGTAGATTAAATTTCTGAGAATATTGTTTAGTTATTTTTTTTCCGTTTAGTTCTATTACTTTTTGATGAGATAGTGTTTTTGCGGTTAGATTGCACCCTAAGTTGACATAGTGCTCATTTAGTTTTGTGGTCTCGCAGGATCCTCCATAGACCTCAATGCTGTACTCTCGAACATGTGCGTGAGTACAGCAGTAACGTCGGCTCCAAATAGGACCTGCTGGATCAAAATGGCAGCACCCTTGAGGGACAGGCTCCGTTACTTTTTAATAAATAATTTTTTTACCTTTTGGTTGCACCCAAAGTTGACAGAGATTTTATCTTCATTGGGCACATAGTAAAATGTTACTTACAGTATGAATGGACTAGGAAACTAAGTTATGAAACTATATGCCACCAACTAATATATGGATTTAAAGTTGATACAGCTTATAGGACATCTGTAAATGTAACGGATCTCAAATTAATTTGTTTATTTTTTTATATTTACATTGAACTTTATTTATCTTGGTTCTTTTGCAATGTTTCTTGGTTGACAAGTTATAGTAATTCTAAGCAAAGGAAAAACATGCCGCATCATTTGGAGGTCTTTAGCAGTATAGATTGTAAAAAAACAAACAAACATGCAAACGTTAATGGAGAACTGTCACTTCTCTGGCATTACACCATTGAATGGAGCGTTTAAAATTACCTTAACTTGTGTAGTTTTGTTAACCTGTTTATTAGATGTTCCTGTTTTCTTTTAAATTTGTATTAAAGCGCACTGTTAAAAAAGTAAATAAATTAGTATTTCATAAAGATAGAATTTAGCCAAGAGATATATAGAGACAAAGTAAGGATTACTTTGTCTCTGTATTTGTCCTCCGCCTGACTTTCTTAGACTCAGGGTGGAATCTAAGTGTCGCTGTAGGGAATTGGCTGTGTCTAGGGAGGATCCTGTGGTTTTGCACTCTCACACATGCACATGAGTACAGCAGAAATGTCGGCTCCGAAGAGACCTGCTGGATCAAGATGGCTTTACCCTCGAGGGACAGGTTCAGTTAAGTAAATCTCACCTTTACCTGAATCCCGGGTACCAGATTCACAGCAAATTTGGCAAAGTCCCCCAACGGTCACAATGCTTCTTTAAAGGACCACTATAGGCACCCAGACCACTTCAGCTGAATGAAGTGGTCTGGATGCAAGGTCCATCTAGGGTTATCCCTGATGCTGTAAACATAGCAGTTTCAGAGAAACTGCTATATTTACTATAAGGTTAATCCAGCCTCTAGTGGCTGTCTCATTGACAGCCGTAGAGGCGCTTCCACACTTCTCACTGTGAAAATCACAGTGAGAAGATGCTGGACGTCCATAGGAAAGCATTGAGAAATGCTTTCCTATGGACTGATTATATGCGCACGCGGCTCTTGCCATGCATGAGCATTCAGCGCTGACGTCGGAAGAGGGAGGAGAGTTCCCCAGCACCGAGGGAGCCCAGCGCTGGACAAAGGTAAGTGTTTAACCCCTTCAGCCCGGCGGGAGTGGGACCCTAAGGGTGAGGGGGACCCAAAGACCCTATAGTGCCAGAAAACAAGTTTGTTTTCTAGGCACTATAGTGGTCCTTTAATGATTTTTCAAATTACATCAGTTAATTTGCAAATACAGAGAACAAATAGAAACATTGTTTCATTCCTTTTCTCTCTGTGCTTTCTCTTTGCTGACTGCCAGGTGCTAAGGACAGAGCTTATACCAATGGTTAACAGAGGCCCAAGATGGAGGTGTCCCGTTGCCAGAGAAGGAGGTGTGGATTTGTATTTTCATTTTATTTTTTATACCTCACAAATCCATATTTGGTAAGTATAGGAACAGGTAAACATAATATTATAAATTTTGGGAAATACTAATTCCCATTTTAATTGTGTGGGTTTTTTATGCAATGTGCTATTTAGTACAAGGAAAATAATTGACCAGCACTCTTCCAATGTGTGAAGTATTGTTTATTTATAGTGTAGCATATCGTTTAGGCTTTGTCAAGATATTATCACTCAGGGTATATGCCAATAAATAGTCAATAAAAAGGAATCGATTAACACAATTTGGCGCACAAAATGATCATATGATAAGCACATGACACACATAAAGATTAGACATTGATTAGGAAACTAGCTTATGAAACAATATACAAAAACAAAAACAATTAGAATGAGCTACTATGTGTTATGTTGTGGTTATAGTAGATACATATTAGAGGCAAATATTGAGAAAGTGTACTTAAAGAAAACAATGGCAAAATTATAACAACTAACCCATTCCAATACAAGCCCAAATAGTAGAAAATAACATATGCACAACTTCTTTATTTTTTTTTCATGAAAAATATCAGAAAACACAAGGATAAAGTCATAGTAAGAAAAAAAAATAATCAGCAATTATCTTACGCATTGCGCGCTGCGGAGTGTACTCATATATCATCTATGATTTAGCCCAGGAGGGGGCAAAATGTATAAGATGATGGCTGTGTTTTTATTTTATTTTTTACTATATACTTGTGTTTCCTAAAGTGTTTTTAGTAGACTAACAAAGATTAAATATTTTTTTTATCTGACCCTGATAATTTAAAGGGACACTATAGTCACCTGAACAACTTTAGCTTAATGAAGCAGTTTTGGTGTATATAACATGCCCCTGCAGCCTCACTGCTCAATCCTCTGCCTTTTAGGAGTTAAATTCCTTTGTTTATGAACCCTAGTCACACCTCCCTGCATGTGACTTGCATAGCCTTCCATAAACACTTCCTGTAAAGAGAGCACTATTTAGGCTTTCTTTATTGCAAGTTCTGTTTAATTAAGATTTTCTTATCCCCTGCTATGTTAATAGCTTGCTAGACCCTGCAAGAGCCTCCTGTATGTGATTAAAGTTCAATTTAGAGATTGAGATACAATTATTTAAGGTAAATTACATCTGTTTGAAAGTGAAACCAGTTTTTTTTTCTCATGCAGGCTCTGTCAATCATAGCAAGGGGAGGTGGGGCTAGGGCTGCATAAACAGAAACAAAGTGATTTAACTCCTAAATGACAGTGAATTGAGCAGTGAAATTGCAGGGAATGATCTATACACTAAAACTGCTTTATTTAGCTAAAGTAATTTAGGTGACTGTAGTGTTCCTTTAAGCTTGTAGTGGAATGAGATAGTTGTTACTAGAAAACAGCGAATATATGGTTTCACAGTTGGTTTAGCTTATAGGACATCTGTATATGTATCTAATTGAGTTTAGATTCATAATTTCTTATATTTACATTCATCTTTATTTTTGTTATAAAAAGTTTGTTTTAAAAGTTTATTTTATTGGGACGTTAGAGGGATTTTAACCAAAGGATAACAATATAACATGCGTCAGTAGTTAAACTAACAGATCCTGGAAAAGGCAATGCAAAAGTTAAGTATGGGCTTTACCAATGCAATGTACAAATTATAGTTAGGTGATTTTGTTTTTCCCATGTTACAAAAATAAGCATCAGAAGTGAGCATCTTTCACGGATTTCTCATGCAAATGATGCAGATCACTCAGAAAAGCATGGACTCAGAAATAGTGATGTCCCGAACGGTTTGCCGAACGGTTTGCGAACGGTTCGCCACGAACGGTTTGCCACGGACTCATCATTGAGTAAACTTTGACCCTGTACCTCACAGTCAGCAGACACATTCCAGCCAATCAACAGCAGACGCTCCCTCCCAGACCCTCCCACCTCCTGGACAGCTCACTAAGAATGCAGCTTCAAAATGGATGCTGTCCAGGAGGTGGGAGGGTCTGGGAGGGAGGGTCTAATGCTGATTGGCTGGAATGTGTCTGCTGACTGTGAGGTACAGGGTCAAAGTTTACTCAATGATGAGTCCGCGGCGAACCGTTCGTGGCGAACCGTTCAACGAACCGTTCGGGACATCACTACTCAGTAAAGCTCAGCTGTAGTAAAATATTACAACCATTAGCCAGAGTACCGACTTATATAGTTAAAAACCATGTCCAGCAAACAGGCATGGCATGAAATGAGAAGGCACATGTTCATTATCAATGCTCTATACTATGCTGCCTTCCACTATTACTATTTTACAAAAAGTAAAGACTTAATTAGCCTTGCACATATCTCAGTGTGTTTTCAACTCTGAAAGAACCAATACAAAAAAATCCTTCATGACAAACTAATTATACAATTATGTTGTGTAGTGCTCATATTAAAGCTGAAGTTCCAATGTGTGGCCCAAGTGCATGACATCATCACAAAACACACACTCAATCCAACCCAGTCTACCCACATCTAAAGTACGGTACTTTCCCCAAGTAATCTGGGGATTGGTCCTGTGGCACAGACCTTCTTGTTGACTTGCATTTGGCCTCTCTATACTGATTAACTATCTCCAGTTGTTGGTCACAGCTCCTTTGACTGACTGTCTACTACATTAGATGCAACAATCAGCCCCATATATATGCAAATACTCTGGAGTTAATTTGAAGTGATGTTGCATTTTTTGGGGTGATGTATTCTTACTTCAAAATGTAATTTATTAGCTGGCATGAGTCATAATAACATTATCCACTTAGTGAGGTAGCAGAAACTTCCTATGTATAAATAGCCAATTTCAGGGTGCAAATTTCATAGCGTGTGAGATTAGTGTAAGGTTGCACTAGCTACTTAGCAAAGCCGGAGTGGACATGCAATGTCATAAAAAATAACCCTTTCAGGTCCACAGTGGAGATTTCGAAAGGGCAAAATAGTTTAATTTTTTTTAAAAAAGGGCACTCATGGAGTCCATAAGGCCACCAACATTAACTCAAGAAAGTTAAGATATATTACCCAACCGCCAAACTACATTCGATGGAGGACTTAATAAAAAAATGACCTGAGGTTTACTGGGCCCCACCGATGGCTGTGGCTTGACAAATGGTCTCCTTTCTTCACCATTCTAATTGTGGTGGGGGTAAATCCATACAGGATAGAAGCCTTACTCTTCTTCCTCCACCTCTGCCCGGTGGGTCAGAGGTTAATAATAATGCTGGGCTAGAGGTCTCCAGGCTACCTACCCATGATATGTTGACCTTGGAATACACAGTTCTGTGGTTTTAATACTCAGAGACGGAGTTGGCGCTACCATGAGGAAGCACAGGAGGCTGCCTCAGAGAGACACAAAATAGGTTATATAAACAAAAGGGGCAAAAGGTTGAGTAAGAGGGGCAAAAAGGAAGTTAAGAGACACACAGGCCTTCATAGACAAAGACACATTTTAGAGGAGTGGCAAAATGCATATTTGTCCGTGTATCCAAAAAAACTTTGCCACGGCCCCACATAGAGCTAGAAGAGGCCCAGTCTCTATGGCCCTACTAACAAGGGTTAGGGGGAGCTTTTATATTCTCCTGCCACCTTGAGAATTCTTTACTGTACAGAGCATTCCAAGGCAAGTTTCACCAGGTTTACCAGGTTTTATGTTTAAGTAGAATCATGCATAGTGCCAATATTGCTGATTTTTATCCATTAATTATTGAAGTGCATGAGTATACATATATGGTGTAATTTTAGCAGAATTTACGTTTGCATTGTCAGGTTAAACGCTGCTTGCAATTAAAATGTCAACTATAATAAACTTGTTAAAAAGAAATGGTGCAGAATCACTTTTGAGAAGTCATGTATTTTTAGCAAAGCATAAAGTTTAGTCTGGTGACCCCAACAAGTTACTGGGCTCATCGCAATTTGACCAAAGGACCGACAAGGTTACAATATATGTCAATACTAGCAAAAGATACAAACGGAATAGGAGTCTGTCTAAGACATACACAATCTGCAACCACTGTCTGGTGATATCATTGTCATCGCTCATCTCTAAGTAGCTTCTGATAGATGCTATCTCTTTCAGGATTTGAGCCATAATTGTATGCTTTCCTCCAATTGCCAGAATATCTTCGTCAGATCCCTTGTCATCTTCTATCTTGACATGGTTGTATTTAGACAATTCCTCTGTGGAAGAGAAGAAAAAACTAAGTTTCTCACGTGATTGATGGTGTTTTGTCTTACTTTCAAACAATATATATTGACCAAAGTGGAAAATGTGTAAATGTATAAATTGTCCCTGAAATGCTCCTTTCACACAGATATAGTAATTCTCCAAGTACTATAACTGTTACAGAGTTCCAGGAGAGCCTTGGCGTCCCATATTGTAAGAGATCAAATCATATAAGAACACTTTGACTTCTTAAGTGGGGAATGCCAGGTACCACTCCCTGCCTCCACTTCTTCCTATAGAGAGCGGTAAGCCCCAAAGAAGGAGCTTCTGCAAGCCTTCCCAAGCTGAGTTCTGCAATGCAGGGCTAGCTCTATCGTTGAGAGCATCAGTGATTTCCCTCAGCAAATGAGCTAAGCTCTGCAAAACCAGGTTTAGTTCAGATAGAGAGCATCCATCTCTCTACAGGAAGTAGTTGAGCCGGGGTGCACCACCCAGCAGAGTCCATGTAAGAAGTTATACAGTTCTAAGATGGTTTGACTTCTTACAATGGAGGGGTGCCAGGATACTTATGGCACCATAACAACTACAGCAAGCAAGTTGTAGTGGTCATGTTGCTTGCAATGTTCCTTAAGCCTACTGTTTTCCCAGTCAGTATGTGGACATTTCTGAATGCAAAACATTGCTTACTGATACGCATATATTGTATTTCAATGTATTTAATATCCCCTTAATGCCTGCACATTGAAAGGTTCTGTAAATATCTCCCACAGAAAACTCAGTTAAAACAAGTTTGATGCCACATATTAGCAGAATAAATCTACAATCAGCCCACAGAGTCCCCTAGTAACTCCCTTTATATGGTTTCCCTGGACCTACCAACAAATTGCACATGGGTTTCGTGGCACACAAGAAATGAGAGAATCAAAGTGATGTTTGTTAATTGCTACATTTTAGTGTAAGGAACTAGCCACTTGGAATGCATGACCTTGCTAGAGGAACTTTCAGGACCCAGAGGAGCTGCTGGCTAGAGCCCCCTTGTCCTCACACTCTGCCGGATTTAAGTTGCCAGTGTGCCGGTGAGGGAAATCTTAGATCTCATCTCTGGCCCATGAAGGCACATAGCAGGGCCGACACTTGGATAATCCAGGCTCTGCATGGGCCAGCAGGAGAGGTCCTCTGATATCCTTTGTCGGTCTCGATCCATGATCATTGAAGCCCACAGGACATTTGCCAGGTTTGCCCGATGGCCACTCCGCCCTCCTTCTTATAATGTGCTTGTAAGTGTGGTTATGTACTCAATTTAGTATGATGCCTCACAAAAAATAAAGAAAAATAAAACATTACTCCAGTCAATAGGCCTAAGTATCCTTCATAAAAGTTAAAAAATTAAGTTAAAAAATAAATAAGCTTTACCGTTCCTTCTGGTCACCATATTTAATATGAATTGTAGAAAGAAGGGTTGAAGCAAAACATTTGGACAAATAAAATTTAAAAACCTTTTTAAACAATACAAAGTATTCTATGTCAATGAAATAAACAAATCTATATGCACCCTCTGTGACTCTCACGGGTTCTTAGCCAATATCCTTGAATCTGAGCCAATCAAAGGCTCCGTCTTAAAAGCCAAAACTTCCTTTGTGTTCAAATTTAGCAATGCTTCTCCTTTTTAAATAACTAGTATTATCTTTTTGTCTATATAGAGTGCCATCTGCATTGTGTACTTCCTTGTTTAAATCTTTATCTTAAAAGAGCCAAGACTTGCACATGGAAGAAATTATGTGATAGTTCAGTGTTTTGTTGTGAGTTTATTTATGTTCCTTGACTGTGCACGTGCATAGAAGAACTCAGGCCAGCTGGAAAACATAGCAAGGGCTTCATTCTCAGGAATTTTACTATCCAAGAAATTGTCTCAGGAAACGTGATAACCTTCCAAAGTTAGTGATGAACTTCACCATCTGATGGACAGCTGGTTATGACACACATTGGTGAAATGTCGATATAAAAGGAGACATAATGTGGGTTATTTTTAAAGGGTTGTGAATAAAATAATACAAATAAATCATTGCCATAGAAGCTGATGAAATGTTAACATTTGACACTGAGAATGCCGTACAACAATTAACCTTAATTAATAAAGCCCATTAAAAAATTGTGAACTACAACATGTCTACCTACAAGAAGTCTATGAAACTGATTGGAAAACCGTTTGGTAAATAAAGGCATACTTGGCATGTTGATGTTGACCTTAAATAGATTAAATTATTATATTTTTAGTCTGAAGTCCCTAGTGGCTATCTATCTTTCAGCCATTATTGGGGAACACCACTACAGGCAACTAGAGATGTCGCGAACCGTTCGCTGCCTTCAACATGGATGCTGTCCAGGAGGTGGAAGGGTCTGGGAGGGAGGGTCTGCTGGAGATTGGCCGGGATGTGTCAGCTGACCGGAGTTCGCCACGAACGGTTCGTGGCGAACCGTGGCGAGCCGTTCGCGGGAAGTTCGCGAACAGTTCGCAACATCTCTACAGACAACAACAAAACAGAAGGTGCAGCATCCATGCCCCGATATTATTTCATTGTGTGATTGTGGTGCTTAGACTGTCCATTTATTCACTAAAGTTGACTGTTTAGTAAGTAAACTCAAAAGGGGATCTATTAAATCTTCTGGTGTACCTTGGTAGTAGGCAGGTTACCAGCATCCTTTAAAAGTATACTATGATAGCAACCTAAATTAGTGACATAAAATACTATACATAAAAAAATGTGCCTATCGCGATAATACCTCTAGATTGCAGGCTAATAAACCGAATTCTTTTCAGTGTGTCTAATGATTCTTCCCCTGTTTGTATAATTAACAGTTATTCTTGTTTAAAATTTAAAGTGTTCTGTTTAAGATAATATCCATTATTATTAGACAGATTACTTAGATTAGTTTAGATTAAGTGATTTTATACAACTTTGCAAAACTGATAGATTATGTATGGTGTTATGTGGATTAAAGCCTGCGTGTTGTTTGTATTTGTAACCAAGGAACACTCTGTAACCATTATAGCCTGTGGATATTGATGGATAGACTGATAAGGGATTAGCAATCAGGGACACCTGTTACGTATTTAACAGCAGCTGAATATTTATGGGATCACACTTACCAGTATAACTATTTTCATTTTGCCAAGAAACTTCAGAGCTGAGGGTGCGTGATTCATTTAATTTGTTTAAATCTTTGGTACACAGCAAAAACGTAATCTTCTCTAAGACCAGTTTCTTCATCCAATTAGGAACTGGAGTCTTGAAGTTCTTTTTTTGAACTATTCGGACTACGAAGATACTCTCTGATAAACTGATCACAAGCAGAACCATGCAGATTATAAAATACAGAGCTAGTGAAATAAGACAGAAAATAGTAAGATGGTAAATGTACATGTTGTATGTTATTGTTTGTTTCCATATATATCAGTATTTTGTATGATTCAAGTCCATTATTGAAACTCTCACTTGAGAATGATTTTCAGCGAGATGGCAAAACCGGAATATGAGAAATAGTGATGTCCCGAACGGTTCGCCGAACGGTTCGCCGAACGGTTCGCCACGGATGGCGAACATATGACCCTGTACCTCACAGTCAGCAGACACATTCCAGCCAATCAGCAGCAGACCCTCCCACCTCCTGGACAGCATCCATTTTGAAGCTGCATTCTTAGTGAGCTGTCCAGGAGGTGGGAGAGTCTGGGAGGGAGGGTCTGCTGCTGATTGGCTGGAATGTGTCTGCTGACTGTGAGGTACAGGGTCATATGTTCGCCGTCCGTGGCGAACCGTTCGGCGAACCGTTCGGCGAACCGTTCGGCGAACCGTTCGGCGAACGGTTCGGGACATCACTATTTCTCATATTCCGGTTTTGCCATCTCGCTGAAAATCGTTCTCAAGTGAGAGTTTAGGCGAACCGTTCGGGACATCACTAATGAGAAATTCAGACAGGAAATTAATTACATAATTGAGTCATTTAGCCAAGGACAGTGCAGTAGGTGTGCAATGAATTGCTTTCCCAAACGATACTATATTTTATACTTATTTTATTAAACTTTACTATTGTTTAAATTACATTTTGAAGTCATGCTTTTCTTTTTTGTTGAGATTGGCTTATACGATTATTATTTTTTTTCAAAGTTGTAAAAAAAATTCTAAAATAGAAGATTGAGTTGTGCACAAATGTTTTCTGGCTAGGACGAACTAATCTAATGTTTTTTAATTTATGCCTGAACGAATGGATCGAACAAATTCGATGAATTGAATTCCAAAGGCAAATCCTGGATTGATTGATTTATTGCGGCACAAATTAAAAGGTATTTCATTTGTTCATCGCAGCTCCCACCCCTCACCCCCCCATCCTTCTAAAAGGGAAAATTCAACCCATAGAATAATTTTTGGTCAACAATTACATGCAAGAATAAAAAAACAAAAACTGTGTGATTGAAGACAAATATCATTACATTCTATTATCTTAGTTATCATTATAAAGGTAAAATAAAATGTTAGTGTTACCTATTAAAGGAGTTCCGATGGAAGTTGGAGGTAGTGTATCTGACACAATAATGAGAAATACAGAATAACCCAAAAGTAGGGTAATCTTGAAAGAGATTCTTTCTCCACACTCTGGAGGTAAGTAATAGCCAACAATATCCATTACCATGAGGAATGTACTTGGCAAAATCAGATTCACAACATAGAAGACAGATCTTCTTTTAAAAATTATCTGTAATAGGATATATATGGATACAGAATTTAAACAATTGCTGTAATTGTTTCATTATAATACATTTTCTAATATTACTTCATCCACCTATTGGGTATATAAATATGGATTTTATTAATATTTGCTAAAATTAACCTCACTCTTAACTCACATCAAACTTTGCCTCTCCAAAGACTTCTCCTTCATCGTTGAACATATTGTATCGAGGCACCAAATTGAGAAGTTCCCACTCTCCCTCGTTTTTGAAAAGATTTTTGTCTTCTTTTATTTCATCTAGTGTTTTCCAGACAGATATATTAATATCTTCAACTAGAGAGCAGAGAGTGGTGGATTAGTAACTTCTTAGTTGACCTATGACGAGATCTGTGTGATACACAGTAAATTGGCTTCTCCAGAAAATAAATAATTATTAGAGGTTTTCATAGAGAAATCTATATTGCTTTATGTAGACATGAAAACTCACTGTTAACGTATGCAGAGTTTTTTCTTTTTAAAGTCTCTATGTAATTATATTGCCATTAAGATTCCCTTAAACATTACATATTTCCATATAGTGAGGGGAAAAAGTATTTGATCCCCTGCTGATTTTGAACGTTTGCCCACTGACAAAGAAATGATCAGTCTATAATTTTAATGGTAGGTATATTTTAACAGTGAGAGACAGAATAACAAAAAAAAAAAGAAAAGAAAAATGCATGTCAAAACAGTTATAAATTGATTTGCTTGTCAATGAATGAAATAAGTATTTGATCAACCAGCATGATTTATGGCTCCTAGGTGTCTTTTATATAGGTAACGAGCTGAGATTAGGAGCACTCTCTTAAAGGGAGTGCTCCAAATCTCAGCTCATTACCTGCATTAAAGACACCAGTCCACAGAAGCACTCAATCAATCAGGTTCCAAACTCTCCACCATGGCCAAGACCAAAGAGCTGTCCAAGGATGTCAGGAACAAGATTGTAGACCTGCACAAGGCTGGAATGGGCTACAAGATCATCGCCAAGTAGCTTGGTGAAAGAGTGACAACAGTTGGTGTGATTATTCGCAAATGGAAGAAACACAAAATAACTGTCAGCCTCCCTCGGTCTGGTGCTCCATGCAAGATCTCACCTTGTGGAGTTTCAATGATCATGAGAACAGTGAGGAATCAGCCCAGAACTACACGGGAGCATCTTGTTAATGATCTCAAGGCAGCTGGGACCATAATCACCAAGAAAACAATTGGTAACACACTATGCCATGAAGGACTGAAATCTTGCAGCGCCTGCAAGGTCCCCCTGCTCAAGAAAGCACATGTACAGGCCCATCTGAAGTTTACCAATGAACATCTGAATGATTCAGAGGAGAACCAGGAGAAAGTGTTGTGGTCAGATGAGACCAAAATCAAGCTCTTTGGCCACAACTTGCCATGTTTGGAGGAGGAGGAGGAATGCTGCCTATGACCCCCAAGAACACCATCCCCACCGTCAAACATGGAGGTGGAAACATTATGCTTTGAGGGTAATTTCTGCACCACATCAAAGGGACGATGGACATGGCCATGTACCATCAAATCTTGGGCGAGAACCTCCTTCCCTCAGCCAGGGCATTGAAAATGGGTCGTGGATGGGTATTCCAGCATGACAATGACCCAAAACACACAGCCAAGGCAACAAAGGAGTGGCTCAAGAAGAAGCACATTAAGGTCCTGGAGTGGCCTAGCCAGTCTCCAGACCTTAATTCCATGAAAAATCTGTGGATGGAGCTGAAGGTTTAAATTGCCAAACGTCAGCCTCGAAACCTTAATGAAGAGGATCTGCAAAGAGGAGTGGGACAAAATCCCTCCTGAGATATGTGCAAACCTGGTGGCCAACTAGAAGAAGCTTCTGACCTCTGTGATTGCCAACAAGGGTTTTGCCACCAAGTACCAATTTGAAGGGGTCAAATACTTATTTTACTCATTGACATGCAAATCAATGTATAACTTTTTTGACATTTTTCGTTTGACGTTTTTCTGGATTTTGTTGTTGTTATTCTGTCTCTCACTGTTAAAACACTAACACCATTAAATTTATAGACTGATCATTTCTTTGTCAGTGGGCAAATGTTCAAAATCAGCAGAGGATCAAATACTTTTTTTCCTCACTGTATATAAAAAAAAACTTCCCTGCCACCATTCACCTCTCTTGACAACAAAGATGCCAAACATTTTTTAACAAAATTCAAAAATGATTTCTCAATATAAAACAAAAATGTTAATTGTTCTAGAAGTAAAATGTATATAAAATATGGACAATTAAAGCAAAATATTCAAAACTATTCTTTTTGCAGGGTACATGTAAAAAAGTTGAATACAATAGTGTGATGATATTTTAAATAAGTTAATTGAATAAAATATAGGTCTTTTAAGAAACCACATACTTTCACACTAGTTAACCCCTTCACCACTAAGCAGTTTTTCATTGAAAATATATTAGCATACCATTTATTTGAAGATAGGATGCATATCTGGCATATAAACATATAATAACACAGTTTTGTGTATATTTTGCTTTGCAGACAAACTTAAAAATGAAAAATGTGTACATTTACACAATTTCATTTTCACTATTCATTCTTCCTTTATAATAATATGTAATAAGTGAAATTACTTACACAATATACAGTGTCATTTTTATTGCAATATTTCACACAGGGTCTGGAATGTTAGAATGTTAGAACCAGTGGCATAGCTAAACCTTTTGCCGCCGGGGGTGGTCCCTGAGTTTGCCGGCCCTCTCAGACCAGCCCTATCACCAAGTCTCGCTGGTTGCATACAGAGAGCAGGAATGTGACGTGATTCATATCCCTGCCCCTCCGCACAGCTTGTGGCATGTGTATATGTAAGTAGTGTTAGCATTGGAATGCAGGTGTGTATTTGTGTGCAGTGTTAGCATTGGAATGTAGGGGCGTATTTGTAAGCAGTGTTAGCGTTGGAATGCAGGGGTGTATTTGTAAGCAGTGTTGTTGGTATGCAGCGGTGCATTTATAAGCAGTGTTAGCATTGGAATGCAGGGGTGTATTTGTAAGCAGTGTTAGTGTTGGAATGCAGGGGTGTATTTGTGTGCAGTGTTGGCATTGGAATTCTGGGATGTATACATTTCTACACACATATGCACACACGATTAGACTCACACAGATACACAGGGACACAGGTACACATACACATTGCCCCACAGGTACACACACAGGTATATACACACTGACACATAAGTACACATACAAAGATCCACAGGTACACATACACACTGACACAAAGGTACACAGACACACGGGTACATACAAACACTGACACACAAGTACACATACACACAGGTACATATACACAGACACACAAGTGCACAAAAACAGACACACATACCCACTGACACACACAGCCAGATACACACACTGACACACAGTTAAGCACTATCACATATACTCACAGACCCAGGTGCGCATACACACACTTATATAAATAACAATTTACATATTTTAGCCACCCTCCTGTTTCCTGTGCACCAGTGGGAGCTGGCTGATGAGGTCAATGGGAGTCTGAGATTCCAGGCTTCATCAGTCCACCTCATCCTTATCCCTATGCAGCGCCCTGTTAAGGAGGAGGTGACCTGAACTAATTTCCTCCCAGCAGGCTGTGGGGGAACTCACAAAATGACAGGGGCCTGGTCCGGTGCAATGTTAAAGGACCCCTGATTACCTCGAAAAGTGGGTGGCACTTTTTAAGTGAGACAGAGAGCTGTGCTGTGCTCCAGAGTCGCCCCCCAAAAAGTCCCACCAGAGGCTGACTGCCCCCCCTAGCTATACCACTGATCAGAGTAAAAGAAAAATTTTCTCACATGCAGTAGGTGTAACAAAAATATATAACTAAAAATGGTCAAAAACCTTGCTTATCGGTATTTGTAAGGACCTTGAATGTATTACTAGCAGTATAGACAATTGCTAAAGAACATAAAGATTTGCTTTTGAGTATAATGCCCATATACAGTAAAATCATATATTTCTAAAATAAAGATATATAAAACTGCTTTATGAAATCCACATCAATCTCTGAAATGCCAATGTAATGCTGACACTGTAATAATAAGAGTCCTGTTTCCTTTCTGACAGTAAGAATGGTACGACCCAGTGAAATATCCTGTTCTGTTTGAAAGCAGGGGCGAGCTGACATTTTCAGCAACTTTACATTCATTATATAAGTTACTAGTGGTTTTTGTCAAAGACATGTTCCTCTTCAACAAACATGTCAAACTCGCGGCCCACAATGGACAGCTTTGCAGCCCAGCAAGCCACAAGTACATGTCTAGTGTTCCAAGAAGAGTAGGCACTTGCTTTCCCCACATTGCAGGTGCCTACTCTGCTATAATTCGTGCGTGCCGTCTGTAGTGATGCCAGGTGCCGGGATATGATGTCATATTCCAGCACCTGGCACGCGAGGGAGCAGTGAGGAGCAGGAAGGAGATCTCCAGACAGAATATCCCCAGGAATAATTACAATAATGTGAGTGTGTGCAAGAATGTCTAAGTGTGTGTCTGTCAGTGTGTTTTTCAGTGGGTGAGTGTGTGTGTCTGTCTGTGTTTCAGCAAGTGTGTGTCTGTCAGTAAGTGTGTGTGTGTGTGTGTCTGTCAGTAAGTGTGTGTGTCTGTCAGTGAATATGTCTGTGTGTCTGTCAGTGAGTTTGTGTGCGTGTCAGTGAGTGTGTGTGTGTGTCTGTCAGTGAGTGTGTGTGTGTTTATGTGAGTGTGTGTGTCTGTCAGTGAGTGTCTGTGTGTGTGTGTTTGTCTGTGTATCAGTGAGTGTGTGTGTGAGTGTGTATGTGTGTCATTGAGTGTGTGTCTGTGAGTGTGTGCCTGTGTGTGTATCTGTCAGTGAGTGTGTGTCTGTCTGTCAGTGAATATGTCTGTGTGTCTGTCAGTGAGTTTGAGTGTGTGTGTCTGTCAGTGAGTGTGTGTGTCTGTCAGTGAGTGTGTCTTTATGTAAGTGAGTGTGTGTGTCTGCCAGTGAGTGTGTGTGTGTCTGTCTGTGGGTGTCTGTGTGTCTGTCTGTAAGTGAGTGTGTGTGTCTGTCAGTGTGTATGTCTGTCTGTCAGCGTGTGTGTGCGTCTGTCAGTGTGTGTGTGTCTGTCTGTCAGTGTGTGTGTCTGTCAGTGTGTGTGTGTGTGTCTGTCAGTGAGTGTGTGTGTATCTGTCAGTGAGTGAGTGTCTGTCAGTGAGTGTGTGTCTGTCAGTGAGTGTGTGTGTCTGTCTGTGTGTGTGTGTGTCAGTGAGTATGTCTGTCAGTGTGTGTGTGTGTGTGTGTGTGTGTCTGTCAGTGTTGCGATGGCCGTGGCTGTACAGTGGAGGACCTGGAGGTGCACGCAGGCACGCAACGCCAATTCACACTCCAACGTGAAGTCGACATGGTGTCAATAAGTAGCGGGAGGATCCACTTTGGCACAGGCTGTGGACAGCGCCATATGGGGTATACCAGAGGCCGGGCTCCGGAGTCGCATACTGGCAGCGGCAATGTGAGTGGAGTCTGTTTGTTGGCTAGAGGGGGGTGCTGGGATTTAATAGATGGGGGAATGGGATTTAGTATATGGGGGGTGCTGTGGTTTAGTAGAGGGGGATGCTGTTTTTTTTTTTATACTGTACTTTTCAAAATAAACCTACGTTTCTATGAAAATAAGTTATTTTTTTGTTTGTTTGTTTTTTTTGCAGCCCTCATAAACTTAAACCTTGTTTATTTGGCCCTTGCTAGAGTTTGAGTTTGACATGCTTGCTCTACAGGCTGGTAACATAACATAACTAGAGTATACATGAGGGTCACTGAGGCTTTATGGACAAATTTCATATAGCAAAATACACAAAAATAAAAATGTTTATACACGATCCTGGTATTGAAGGGAATAAAAACAAGAGAACCACATAAAGGATTATTGCATCAAAAGCTCATTGTACTACTCTTATATCAAGAAAAAAGTAAGATGTCACAATTCACCTGTTTTAACCCACTCAGCTATTCACAAAAGTCAAATGAATTTACACTTCCATTCATCTGCACTTCTGATAAAACCATCTGAATCTCCATGTAATATGGGTCATTAGGCTATTCACAAACAGTCAAATTGCAACTGAATTGCCTTGATTAGTTCCCCTAATACAGACCAGGGAATTTGCACATAAGACTTTATTCCTCCCTAATCCTTAGTTACTCTAATGCTACCCACTATACCCATTAGGCCTGGAAGGATACCACAAACCTAAATTTTCCCCAAACCTAATTTATTTATTTTTTTATCCAGAAGGGAAACTCTGTCACATTTCAGCTGTTTTCAATTTAGTTGAATTATTTTGAAATGAATCTCACCGCAGCAGTGAAATCCATTTGAAAAAAGGGATCCATTAATTTGGTTAGGATTTGGATGTTAGTGAATACCATAAACCACAGATCAATATTAACCATTTCACTACCAAAATCAAGTATAAGTGGTTTTATTTTAATGTATTTCACAGTAAGATAATGAGTCCAAAAAACCTCAATCGGCTTCATTTATATTGTAGGTATGATTGCCAGCCTGTAGAGGAACAAATTTCTCTTCCAGAAGTCACTATTAAATTATTTAATGCCTGCAAGATTTCTGAAAATGCAGGCACAGCCCTGCTTTCAAACAGTGCAGGAAGTTTCAATGGATCATACAATTCAGTCACAGATGTCCTGACGAAAGCTTGAGGGGATCAAGCTGAAACGTTGACCTTGTGTTGTTTTAGTGGAGGTAATAAAAGTTATATTTTATATTAGTCCTTGGAGTGCTATCTCTGGCAATATTTTTTGCATTTTTGGCTGACAAGCACTGGGCATTGATTATTGAATTGGTGGAGTGCAAGATCCGTTTGGTTTTTTATATATATATATATATATATATCAATCATCTAGGGTTGCAAGACATAGCCTTACATATTACATGCGACAATATATGGCGCAATGACTTATGGGGCTGGCATAGATTTTTTTCCAGGGCTGCTTTGGAATCCCCAGTCCGGCCCTGATTCTCATTCCAGAGCTTGATAACGATTTTTACATTGTGTTGTTTTGTAGTAAGGTGTGCTCTGACTATTGCCTTCAGGGTCCTTGCAAATCTATTTATTTTTATCACATCTACTGTATATGAAAAAAATATATATATTTTATCTTAACAATTCAGACCCTGTGTGGTTAGAACATTTCTTGCATATAGCCACATCTAGGCTGGTTTCTAATCATGAACTAGAATGCATTTCACACAAACAACAACAAAAATAACATTAAAAGACAAAGCACAAAAATGCTCTAAAATTTATATACACTGTTTTTTACATTGTTTAGCAATCAATAATTGTATTATTTATTGTTTTGAAAGTTCCAATTTACCTTATATGGATCTATAGAGACTTTGTTCTAAAATAAATCCTGCCTCCATGTTGGTGTACTAATTACAGAACACTTTCATGGTTATTCAGCTTTTTTTTTGTGGTATTTTCTGCACATATTAAGACTAAGTGATACTTAGTGTCTTCTAAACCTTAGTGATAACAGTTTTGCATTATATATGTGTGAATTAATTCTAAATGTAAAATTAATGCTTTCACACTAATACTTTCTTATACTCATTGGAGGTTCCTCAGGTAAGGGTTCCTCAGTGGAATACCCTCATCACAATAGGATGGTAAAAAACATACTTGGATGAATCCAGCTGGTGAAGGTGAGCGTACAGTTTTGCAAATCGAACGGGAAATAGTAGATATTAAGGTTGCAGGAAGTCACTATTTGAATGGGTTTGTTATTGTGGATTCGGCCTTCGTTGTTGATGGAGACAAAAGGGACATCTGGGGACTTTTCTATATCCACACTGAGAAAAAAGAATTGAACAACTCATACATGCACTCATATACCATATGTAACAGCATATCAGTATTCTAAACATGAAAATGGTGAAACTAAAGGAACACAGTATAGATATAGATGTACTATTCTCAGGATAATTCCTAAATGCTACAAAAGTATAGCCTCCGATATTACCACAATGCAAAATGGTATGTGCCCTCATCTTATGATCTCATTGAGGAAGATATATGGAAGTATCATGATCTGAAAAAAAGTTGAAAGTTATCAGTACAAACTAATCACACATGAAAAATATAGTTTAAACATAGTTTAAAATGTTTTCTAACATTATTATTATTATGTTATTACTTATATGGCGCCAACAAGTTCCGCACCGCTTTACAGTGGGTGGACGAACAGACATGTAGTTGTAACCAGACAAGCTGGACACACAGGAACAGAGTGGTTGAGGGCCCTACTCAATGAGCTTACATGCTAGAGGGAGTGGGGTAAAGTGACACAAAATGTAAGGATAGTATTAGTCTAATGACAGTTGCAAGAGAGGAATAAGTAGGGAGCTATTAGCAGTTCAATTAATACGCTTTTACGAAGAAGTGGGTTTTTAATGATTTTTTGAAGGAGTGGAGACTGGGTGACCATCTAACGAAGGAAGGAAGTGAGTTCCACAGGAACGGTGCAGCCCTCGAGAAGTCTTGAAGGCGAGCATCAGAGGTGGAAGTATGGACAGAAGATAGATGTAAGTCTTCAGCAGAGCATAAGGGTCTAGACAGGACATACTTGTGTATTAGGGAGAATACATAGGAGGGAAGAGCATTATGTAGAGATTTGAAAGCAAGAACCTGAATTTTAAATTGAGCCATATATCTTACAGGAAGCCAATGTAGGGACTGACAGAAGGATGAGGTGTGGGAGGTGCGGGTGCACAGGAAGATTAGCCTTGCCATCGCATTCATTGTGGACTATAACGGCGCAAGTTGGAAGCACATAAGACCACTGAGAAGCAGATTACAGTAGTCAAGGCAAGAAAGGACAGTGGAATGGACCAGCACCTTAGTCGCATCTGGTGTTAAGTAGGGTCAGATGCGCGCAATGTTTTTGAGATGGAAGCGGCAGTATTTGACGATAGACATGAGGTGTGAAAGAGAGGTCAGAGTCAAAGAGAACACCTAGGCAGCGAGCCTGCATGGTGGAGCTGATGGTAGCACCGTTGACTTGGAGGGACGCAGACACAGGAGTAGCAACACTTGAGGGAGGAAAGACCAGAATTTCAATTTTGGTCAAGTTGAGTTTTAGGAAGTGGGCAACCATCCAATTAGAAATAGCAGAGAGGCAGTTAGAGACACTAGTCAAGAGGGACGGGGAGAGATCAGGAGAGGAGAGATAGATTTGCATGTCATCCGCATAAAAATGATATTGGAAGCCAAAAGAGCTAATGAGCTTACCAACATGAACTGCTAACATGGACTGCTATATGCAAAACAAAAAAACTATTGAAAATGTGTATTATACAGAGAGCTGTCATAGTAACTCAGAGCAGTGATGTTGCATCAAGAGTAATTACAGAGTTGCAGAGTTAGTCAGTGCTTTCTTTTTTTCTTGGAATATCCCAAACTGTTGATTTGGCCACTCATAATGTTCCTGTTATCTCTCTGATATATTTTTTTTTTGCAGCCTAAGGATGGCCTGTTTCATTGGCCTGTTTCACTTGCATTGAGAGCTCTTTAGACCGCATGTTGTGGGTTCACAGCAAAAGCTTCCAAATGTGAATGACACTCCTAGAATCTATTCCAAATCTTTTACTTGCTTAATTGATAAAGAAATACCGAAGGAATAGCCCTCCACTCTCCTCGCAACAGCTTTTGAGTCACTTGTCCTATTACTTTTGGTCCCTTGAAAAAGAAAGGGCTACACATTAAAGAGCTGTAATTCCTAAGCCCTTCTTCCAACGTGGATGTGAATACCCTCAAATTAAAGCCGAGAGGCTATACTTTAAGCACATACTCATCATTTAAAGGGACACTACAGTCACCACAACAACTACAGCTTATTGAATTTGTTCTGGTGAGTAGAATCATTACCTTCAGGCTGTTTGCTGTAAACACTGTCTTTTCAGAGAAAATGCAGTGTTTACATTACAGCCTAGTGATAACTTCACTGGCCACTCCTCAGATGGCTGTTAGAGATCCTTCCTGGTTCATGGCTGCCTAAAATGCATCCAAACATTCAGTATCTCCTCCCTCTGCATGCAGACACTGAACTTTCCTCATAGAGATTCATTGATTCAATTCATCTCAATGAGGAGATGCTGATTGACCAGGGCTGTGTTTGAATTGTGCTCGCTCTGCCCCTGATCTGCCTCCTTGTCAGTCTCAGCCAATCCTATGGAGAAGCACTGTGATTGGATCAGTCCACCACTTCTGATGATGTCAGCAGAGCTACAGCTTCAGGCTTAAATACAAGTAATATTTTGCTATATTTAGTAAGGCATGAGGGGCCCAAGGGGGCTAGATGGTGTTTTTAACACGATAGGGTCAGGAATACATGTTTGTGTTCCTGACCCTATAGTGATCCTTTAACGGTAGCTTATATTTATTATGGTAAATAGACAAAATAACAAAAATTGTGTCAGTGTACAAATATTTCTGTTCCTAACTGTATATATCTATATATCAATATATAGATATAAATAATTTTCTATAGTCTGGCTCTCATCCTATATATATATATATATATATATATATATATATATATATATATATATATATATATATATATATATATATATGTGTATGTGTGTATTTGTGTATGCATATGTATATGTATGTTTACCAATCATAGCTATAAGCATGACCCCAATCCATACAAACAACCACCTAACCATTATATATATATATATATATATATATATATATATTTATATATTGCAATATTTGTATCCTTAATTTGATTGGTATACTTACAATTCTAGAATAAATATATCAGGGATCCAGACAGAATTTGTTGGAAAAGTCATCTGAGTCACATTTTCATAATCATTGGGATCCCAGGTAAGAAATTCATCTACCCATGACTAAAGAAAACACACAATAAATATGATTGATTTAACACTACATTGTTATAGATTTAGAGTCCAAATATAGTAAAATTTCAATTACATGTTAAACTAGCTGAATTATGGAAGCACAATTGAATTATGTAAGAATAGTTTAATAATACATTCGCCACATGTGTCAGTGGGAATAAGAGCAGATTAACATTTTTGTTTTCATTCGTTCCCTTGTGGACAGCATTATGTCATGACTTTCTAAGTTCTAATTATATCATTCTGTAAACTTAATTAAAACTTGGAATTAGATGTTAAAAAGAATAGAGAATTAGCTATTTGTGTATTATAGGATATTTACCTGATTGTACCAGATGTAAGTTGTCAACATTTGATTTTTCTCATCCTAAGGACAAAATACAATTTACATATCAGGTTATTTGTTCTGCAACAAATTATTTATTTAAACATGACACTATCATCAATTAGTTATCATTAAAGTTTCTGTTGCTGAATAAATAATTTAAATTCTTGTGTCAGAAAAATATTCATACTGTTTAGTAAAATGCCTTGTGCATTTATTTACAAGAAAAAGTGCAGATTCTAAGCTATTAGTCAAGTCTAAATGTTACTTGCCACCACAATTCCATTTATTTTCTGAAGTCATGCTCACCTTAAGCAGACTACTCACTTCCATTGATTTTTTTTATGGGCTGTAATATCTTTTGTGATGAAAGCACCTTCGTCACTGGGACTTAGAGAGGCCTGCTTGCCAGCCTCTTGCCCTGTGTCTATGGCCCCTGGGATATATTGCCCTTTAAAAACACTATTTGGACATATTGGATTTTAAAGGCACTGTTTCTGCCCCTTGGACTTTTAACTGGAACAGATTCAAACATGTGGCGGTGGAAATTGTCCAGCAGTGTTTTGCCGTCGAGTGTATGGAACTGTTTTGGGCATGGGACCATGTGCACGGTGGGGCAAAAATAAGACTTCCAGGAAATTCCTGAACTGATCTGGGTGATTTTTGGATATGTTGTTCACCCAGATCGGGGCTATCAGGAGATGTGAGGGATATGTTGTGTTTTGGGGTACTTTTCGGGGTTTGGAAAAATGTATGTTTTTTCTGCTTAGAGTTAATTGAGTTAGTCCATTGTCTTAGTTAATTGTATCATAGGCAGAGTGGAGGGCTTGTGTGTTGTATGTGGGATTGTCAGACATTGTTGTATTGTTCTGATTGGTTTGTGTGCCTGTGTTCCATCAGGCCCAAGGAGTGGGCCTCTGGTCTGAGGAATTGTATAAATTGTGAGTGCTGGCTTGCATTAAACAGACCTGTTCTACCCTTCATGAAGTCTTGGCTCATGTTTGTGGGATTGGAGAACTACACTCAGGGGATTGCTATAATCACTATACTCCCCAGAGTATAATCACTAGCTCTTGTAAGAGCTGTTCCTGTTCCTGTTTTGCTCTCTGGACTAAGGAGAGGTTCACCCACTGGAAGCTGGAGCCCGGTCTTGGGTCCAGGGTGGGTGGAGGACGGCAAAACCCAACCAAGCTGTGGCGGTTCGTGGGGTTTGCAGTGGTTATGGTGTCGAGTGCGGTGCTGATGGTCCTTGGCGAGCACTAGGAGCATCGTTCGACAGAGGCATTCAGTCGGGGTGGTAGGCGGTCCGTCACACCTTTTACCTGTGGGTGTGGGGTTAAAGGGACCGTATAGGCACCCAGACCACGTTGCACTGTCCCTATCCATTTAACCCTGCAATGGTAATTATTGCAGTTATTGAGAAACTGTAATAATTACATTGCAGGGTCAATTCCACTTCTAGTGGCTGTCTACCATTTTCCTATGGGGCTGTCCTAATGCGCTTGCGGCATAATCGGGGAGGATTATCAAAGGTGGATTCAGGTAAGTGAATTAAGGATTTTTAACCCTTTGTGCACTGGAGGGGATATGATTTTATATTCCTAGCCTATAGTTTCCCGTTAATACAGTATGGGGTATTGCTGTGAGTGAAAGATTTAAGGGGCACTATAGGCACCAAAATAACTTTAGCTTAATGAAGCTGTTTTGGTGTATAGATTATGCCTATGCAGTCTCACTGGTCAATGTTCTGCCATTAGGTTTAAATTGCTTATGTATACTACCCTAGTCCCACCTTCCTAAATGTGACTTGTACAGCCTTTCTAAACACTTCCTGGAAAATATCCTTGTTATTTTAAGTTCCTGTATTGCACAATCTGTTTAATTTAGAATTTCTTATTTCCTGCTCCATTAATAGCCTTCAAGACCTTGCCAGAGCCTCCTGTGTGTGATTAATACTCAATTTAAAGAGCTGGAATTAAAAAGGCTAAAGCAAGTTAACATCTGATTAAAATGAAACAATTGTTTCCAGCAAGGTGTGTGAGTCACAGCCAGGGGAGGTGTGGCTAGGGCAGCATAAACAGAAAGAAAAGTAATTTAACTCCTAAATGGCAGAGAATCGAGCAGTGAGACTGCAGGGGCATGATCTATACACCAGAACCACTCCATTAAGCTAAAGTAGATTTAAATCCTATAGTATCCCTTTAATACATCAAGGCTTGGAGTTAATATAGCAGGTGTGGAATTTCTAAATATAGGTTTGTGTGATACTCTGAATCATTCAAAGACTTGGTGTCTCAATGTGATTTATAGAGTATGTTAAGGTTTAGGGCTAGACATGGGGCATGGCATTATGTGAGGTTTTGGGAGGGACTTACGTCGTACTGTAATAACTATATTGGGAGGGGCAATAAAACTTACTCCTAGGCTGAAGCCCCTGGTCTTTATGCCACCAGGCAATATCACTGACATACAAATACAAAACTACATATACATACATATATATGTTATGTTGGTTGTGAGCTGAGGTATTTCAACAGGTTCACAGGCAAGTAAACAGCCATGATGTATGTGAGCTAAATGCTGACTATTTGGCTTAAAAATGTTCAACAAAACTGTTTAAAGAGCTGGAAATCTTGGTTCAAATGCCTGAGAAGTCATTATATAACTATACTATACAAATGTAGAACTTCAATTTAGGAATAAATCTAAAAGAAATATTATGGTGAAAGATTTCCAGCTCTTTGAACAGTTTTGTTTAACACTGCCTGTGAACCTGTTGAAATACCTCAGCTCACAACTAACATAAAAGTAAGTCTTCTCTATAAAACCATAGTCTTCACCTCGTTCTGGGCCTTTAGGTTGGGCTCAATGTGTGAAAAGCAAGTTTTCTTCGACAGACCCTGGATTTGGTAATTGGACTCTGACTGGACTCGGATGTTCATGTACTAAACTCTGAATTTTAGCGAAATAAATAAGAATTGAACATTTTAGCCTGAAATGGCTAAGTTCTGTTTATATCTAAACTGAAGAATTTCTGAAAATCATCTCTTTGTCAGTCTCCATTTTGCGATTCACCGAACTGATGAAAATAGAGGAGGCCAGGCAGGATTAGGGGCCTTGTCTGCACAGTGTCAGTCACATGGTGCATTACTGTCAGGGCCGCCATCAGGGGGTGACAACCATGACTGTTGTCACGGGCCCGGCGACCCTGGAGGGCCCGGACTGCTCTGGCAGTCCTGGGCCCCACTTTCCCTCTCTGCACACATAGATAGCGAATATCGCTATCTATGTGTGCAGCCGCGGGCCCCCTGCTCCCTGTTACCGCAGAGGGGGCCCAGGCAGCACACAGCTTCTTCTCCTGTCTTCTCTCTT